AACCACTGGCTTCAGCTCCATCAACACCATCAACGCCCTCGCCATCAGAGCCTCCCTCAGGACAAGGCAGCGCTGGTGCTGCTTCTCCCATGGCGCCGTCACAACGATCCGGCGATGATGCCCCTGCCGCACCAAAGCCCAAGGGCAAGATGGCCGCGCTGGCGACACCCGCGGTGCGACACCTCTCCAAGGAGCTCAACATTGACATTATCGAAATCGATGGCACCGGCAAGGATGGCAGGGTCCTCAAGGAGGACATCTACAGGTTTGTCAAGGCCAGAGAAGAAGGTGACAGCGGCACGCAAAGCCCTTCTGCTCCTGTCCCAGCCCACACTCCCGGAGTTCAGACAGAAACCAGAACACCGCTCAGCCAAACACAACAAATGATGTTCAAGAGCATGACGCGGTCCCTCAACATCCCACACTTCCTCTACGCTGACGAGATCGACTTCACCAGCCTCGTTGCCCTCCGCGCCCGCCTCAACAAGGTGCTCGCCTCGTCAACGGTGCAGGACGGCCAGCCCGACAAACTCTCCTACCTTCCCTTCATCATCAAGGCCGTCTCCATGGCCCTCTACCAGTTCCCCATCCTCAACGCCCGCGTGGAAGTCGACTCGCCCGGCGCCAACGGCAAGCCGGCGCTCATCATGCGCTCCCAGCACAACATCGGCGTGGCCATGGACACGCCGCAGGGCCTCCTCGTCCCCGTCATCAAGGACGTCGGCTCGCGCAACATCATCTCCATTGCCGCCGAGCTCGTGCGGCTCCAGAAGCTCGCTCACCAGGGCAAGCTGACGCCGGCCGACATGTCCGGAGGCACCATCACCGTGTCCAACATTGGCAACATCGGCGGCACGTACCTGAGCCCCGTGATTGTGGAGAAGGAGGTGTCTATCCTGGGCATTGGCCGCATGAGGACCGTGCCCGCGTTTGACGGGAATGACAACGTCGTGAAGAAGCACGTTTGCAATTTCAGCTGGAGTGCCGACCACAGGGTCGTGGACGGGGCCACTATGGCGAGAGCTGCCGAGGTTGTGAGGACGGTGGTAGAAGAGCCGGATATTATGGTTATGCACCTGAGGTAGAAAGAATAACTAGAATACGACTGCAATAATTTTCAAAATGCTCGATCCAGCCCCAACTGTCAACCCGTCAAACGTGCATAGATGGTTTAATTACAAATACACTTTAAGGCCGTGTTTGTTTCCAATGTAGTAAGATGTCGGTTAATTATAACGTCACCAAAGGACTTTGTCAAGCAACTATATACGGCGACCAGACGAGTCGATGATACACTTTCATGGGCACTAGGTCCAAAATGGCAATTATAACACATCAATTGATGCTTTGACAACTTCTTGTCATTCATTGTCCATCCAGGAAAGCGACGGGGCGTCACTTGTGAATGCTCATCAACTCACAGATATCCTACAAATTCCTATCATTTATTGCCTGTAAATGTAATGTCTCGTCCTTTTCCGCTTTGCTGCAACCTGCGCTATAGCCACCCCTATCGTGATGATGGACCTGAGTTACATACCCTGGAGAGTGTAAACATGAGCATCACACGCACTTGGTGTCCGTTTGGGAATCACCACTAACCACCTGAGATTTCCTCCCAGAATTGTACCAACTGTAAGGACGAATGTAAATACAAAAACCGAAATGGCAAGAACACCTTCGTTAAGTGCCCTTCGTTCGCTAACAACAAGGTATCGTTTAGTGGATGCCCAAGTAGCTAGCCGTTTACTCTCCAACCATGCTAATCTCGCCTTGCGTTTTTCCAGAGCACCAAGAATGGCGCCCCGTGCTCATTCGACAGCGTCTCCAGAGCCGTGGCCTGTAACTAGATATTCTCTACTACGATGCTTCGGCATTCAATTGTCTGTCTGTGTTTGTGTTAATTGACACCGTCGTTCACTGGCTTTCTGTTCTTTAAAAGATTCTTAAGGCACGGCAAATGCTTCTCTTAACGCAAGGCATCCCCACCTGTTTGGTAAACCCTGAGAATTTCAGAGTTTCGTTTCTCCACGTTCGAGACCATGGAGTCAATAGCATCAGCGGCATACTCCTTTAGGCGTTCCGCGTTAGCCTCTTTTGCCTCGTCCTGTATCTTCATTATCCAGAACCTCAATAGTGCGAAAGTCTCACGGATCCTCAAATGTGAGGCGGAATAAGAAGAGGGTTGACCTGACATATTTTGCCCTTGCTAATGCGGGTCTACACCAGCTTGGCCAAGAAGGACGCAAAGCTAAGGTGGTGGGAACCCGACATGGGCGCGCAGTTATCAACCCAGAGGTCAGTCATGTCAGTGACCAGGAAGGGCAGGTCATTCCACAGCGTGCCTTCGACTGCTGGCGAGATATTGATGCCGTATAACCCCGGTGCAGGCCTGGTTGGGGGCCCCATTCCTTGGATGCGGAGGATATCGGGGACCAGACGATGGTGGTGACGTTTCATATGACGTATAGCAGCTAAGCTGGCAGTACATATGCCAAGAAGAATGCAGGTAACCTTCGAGGGAGTGCATCCCATCTCCAATTTCACCGTACCGACTGCCGACGATCCAGGCTCGATTAAAGAATGCTGCTCCCCGGAGTTCCTCTAGTTGCCCTGAGTGGCGGTTTCACGTACTTTCTCTCAGTGTCTAGAGGCGCTGTCTAACGAGATTTCCTCGGGAAGTCTTTTAGTCAGGGCTCAGAAGAGAGTCACGGAGGTGATAACATTTTGAGATGGTGATTGATGGTAATGGAAAACAGGTCAGTCAGGTGAAGTAATGAACACGAGAGACTAAGTGAGCAAACCGCGCGGGGGCCAAATATATACCAGTTGACTTGCTGTTCTGATTTAACCAGTCTCCGGACAGCCAGATACATATACATTCAAGTACTCCATAGCAGCTGCAGGATTCTGACGGGCCAATAGGCCACAAGTGTACTCAGACAGCGTAATTCATCAGTAATTGAGGAGCTCGGGCACTTATTTCAGAACTCTCATTTCACTAGAAGGTCTGCCTTGGGCCGAGCTTGAGCCACTATCAGTCCTTGTCGTTGCGAAGAGTCCGAATCGATTCATGATGAGTCAAAGAGACTAGGGCTTTTGCAACTTAGAGGCGGCTGATGATAGTCATAGTGTACTCACCAAGGTTGACTGCCCAAAAAATCCGGCCTTGGTCTTGACTAAAACCATTGGAGGGGCTCGAATAGTTTTCGTACATGTAGATATTCGTCTTGAAGCGTAGCCCAGTAGAAAGTATCGGAAATGCGTCATGGCAAGATTGCAAAATGACAGGGTTGACTCGGGGTACGTGTAAAAACAGGGACTTGGCAAGAATCCCAGGATGCTGACCGGATATGACCGGACCTGCGTAAAGGGGAAAAATTATGAGCACGAGCTGGCGAGACGATGGAAGCCCAGATATCGATCTAACATAATGTGTATGGAGTAACTCGCATCGAAAGAACACTTTACAGTAAGAGGAATCTGAGGAATCTGAGGCATCTGAGGCATCTGAGGCAGGCAGGCGCGCCAAGAGCCGCAGGCACACCTCCCCCGTTCTTGCTCGTTTTTGCCTGCGCGATATCACCTGGACTCCTCCCCAGCCACAAACTCACCCAAGTAATAGAGCCTATGGCCTCCATGTTAAGATGGAAATACGCCAAGTACAACCTGGTGCCGTCAAAATCAAACCAGACCACCAGTTGGCCTGTTGAGTATGATTCCGTGCAGGCCCCACCCGGACTTTCCCCAGCTCCCAGCTCACAAGCACTGAATCCCATTACAAGCCCGCGCAGCACGGACCTCACCGACATCCTGACGCCTCCTTTAACCGGCACAACACCCAATCTTAAAATCACGCCCTGATCACTTCTTCTCACATCCCCATCACCCACATGGCACATGATGTAAGCATTCTTTCTTCCCCACACAAACGTGATGACCCGCGTGCTGGTGTTTCTCCAGCACGTCGCATACTGCAAGCGGCTGAGGCACCACGTCGCACGTCAAATGTACAACTTGTCATGCGCCCCGTGGCCCACCAGCATCGCATCTGCACCAAGTGGACGAATCGATACCCAGCCCATGACATCAATTGCCGCATCGCGTAGGAGGTAAGCTGCATTGGGCCATTGGGCAATCTTCGTCACGGCCTAATGCGCTAATGGGGAATCAAGGCACCAGACCGCTGTTCAAACCTGCATATTTGGAGCACATGCGCATGCGCAGTTTTGCATGCCCTCGACGCCTTGGTCAACGAAAACACGGACCCTCTGTGTCATTGCTGTCCGTGTCTCAGTCAAACTATGTACGCACTTCGGCCGAACAAAGCATGCAAGGATCTGCGTTGAACTGTTTCTTGATTCGCTCCCGACGATCAACACCCTCTCTCTACTCTGCATATCACGCCTTGCAACTCATGGTTCGCCTCCATCTTCCGGCTTCCGTCCTTCATCTTCCCAGATGCCTTGCTGCCACGCCATTCCCCATCTCAGCATCAGCCGTCTTGCTGCTCAGTCTAGGTCCTTGGCCTCTTTCCCCCGCAACACCGACTGTATATCCCAAATCATAACCAGTCGAGCCAAGTCGATAGACAATGACGGCTTCGAGCTGGTGGTCTTTGCAGACTGTGGTTCTTATCCCAATATATATATGTATCTCTATTGCGTTAACCTTCTTTGCCTGAACGAAAAGCTGTACGACTATCGCCCAGCGGGGATATTTGGAAGGAGGAAGCCTCATGGCCTGTAAAAACGCCCCGAAATCCGAGTAAAAACCTTATCCAAAAAAAAAAAAGATCATGTAAATCAAACGCTGCAATAAGCCAAAGAAAAAACCGGGTGTCCACACCCCCCCAATGATTTCGAAACGACACGTGGCTCAGGTTAGAGAAGCCCACGTCAAATCTGGTGCGATGACAAGCAAGGAGGCAAAAGAAACCGCCGGTGCGTATCGGATTGAATCCCTGAGGACAAGAAAAGAGAGGGAATCGAGAGGCTCCATCACTCTTCAGCAGCCAACATTGCCTTCACCTTCTCCAGGGCGTCCTCTTTAACTTCGTCGACATCACGACTGGCATCAACCGTGATGACGTCAATCTCATCCTCCCTAGGGCGTTCCAAGATGTCAAACTGGCTTTTGACCATGTTGGCACCCATGTAATGGCCCTTGCGCGCAGTGACACGCTTCAAGAGCAGCTCCGCAGGCGCATGAAGGAAAATGAAGTGGATTATCAGTGAACGGTCCCAGTATGCAGCCACGCGGATGACATCTCTGTATTTGAGCTTGAGAGCGGAACAAGCAACAACCACTCCTTCCGCCCCATCGTGGATCCGGCTGTTAGCTTGATTCCGCAATTCGGTAAGCCAATCCCATCTGTCGGCGTCGGTAAGAGGGATACCGGAGCTCATCTTGTCTATGTTGGACTGGGGGTGATACTGTACACGGCGTCAGTCAGGGACTCTTGCGCCTGCCGCTCTTCCGAGTGTGCAACCACACCACGACAATGACTTACCAGGTCACCCTCGATGTAAGGAATATCAAGCGCATTGGCCAAATGCTCGGCTACCGTCGTCTTGCCGCATCCTGCAGGGCCAGTAACCAACCAGAGGTGGTGCTGCTGGTGAGGTTGTGTCTGGCTATTAGCCACCACGGCGCCAGCAGCGGTTGCCGCAACAGGTTTGACAGAGGCCGAAGGCAATGGAGCCGCCGCCGCCTGATCTTGTCCATTGGGCATCGCACTATCGTAGGACAACATGCTGTAAAATATAATGACGTACGATTACACAGATGAAATGATCGATTCACAGGTGCAACGGTGACGTAGGTGTTGCTCAAAGGTCGAGACGGTCCAAGGGAGTGGTGTGTAGGATACTGAGGATGTAGGACGTTTGAAGTTGTGGGAGAGCGAGTTCCCTCGGGACGCTGGCGGTCAACACAACCCCGGGCCTGTGATATATGAATCGAGTATATGAGCAGTATCACGCTGAAGGCGGAAACGCCGACTAAGCAAATGTTCGGAAAGATGCAGGAGCGATTGAAGCAATCGAGAATGCCTAAGAGGGAAATGGCGGTATCAACCAAGGTCGAATGGGAAGTCGTGGTGGAGGAGATGATGGAAGAGATTGAAGGAAAAAAAGGGAACTGAAACTCGAAGCAGCCTAGAGACTGGTTAAATCCGAGGGGCAAGCAGGCTTGGTGATTTCCCACGGTCCCGGGCCACGCTGCTTATTAGAGCAAACAACCCTGGACTCATCGAGAGAACAAGGGGAGACAAGGGGTGGAGGAGAGAGGCCGTGGCGCCAGGTCACGATCTTAGCCTCCAGTCCCGGACATGGACAAGAAAATTGTGCTCGATGTGACAAGGCTACTAGGCGAGAGTACATACAACGCGGGTCCTCCGTCAATTCTGCGCTAGAATTTTTAATAGACTTTGTACCATGCTCAACGAGAAACCAGACCATGACGGAATATGGAGTGCATGGCGTCCAAAGGGAGGGGAGTGGGGAGGGGCGTGTCACACAATTTTTTTAGAAGACTAGTTTCTCGATTCCGGAGACGGCGCCCCAGTGGGCATCAACTGCGGAAGTCTTTGAATCCTTTGTTGTCTGGGCGAGCATTTTGCTGGTTCTTGATAGCAATGTGCAGGCATTCGCTCAACTCCAGTGGCTACATGGCTAGTGTTGACCGTTGAACACGACATACGTACATGGGCTTATCCATCTCTGGTGCATCAGACAGGGGCCAGCCAGTGCGTCGGGTCTTGCTTTTTTCTTCATCATTGACATGGATTGAAGAATCGGTGTGCCGTCTTGAGGCAGTAGTACTACTGCTAGTAGTACGGAGTAGTACCGGCTGAGGTTTGGCATCGATGCGCTCTGCCCTCATGGCCCGACATGCCGTTGACCGACATAGACTAGTATTGAGCAAGGCCAGGGATCAGTGTGGGTATGATTGCTGACCAAGCTGCATCAATTCCTAAATCTGCAGCCGGCGTTGTCATTAAATTGTGAGTCTTGTTGCCTCTCAGCCTTAACGCTGCATCCTGCCGCCGCTCGCAAGTACCGGAGCAGCACACGCAGCACACCGGCTGACCGGGATTCAACTGCGTACATATTTACAACTCCGTATGTATGTATTATGATGATGTATGTACATGTAATTGAGCAAGCGGCACTACTCGGCACGATTCGTGCAATTACCATTTGTTGCAAAATGCTGGAGCGGAGCAGTGGTTCCACCATCCAGGGATCCCACCGCGTCCGCCGCCGCCGTGTCTGATGTCCAACATGCAGTCTCGTCTCGAAGCGAACCCGTCTGCCGCCTTGAACTCTTTATTTAGGCTTTCCCTGTATCTGAGTGTTTAGCGCATGTCATCAATAACCAACCATCTGTCATATCCGGGGTGCCGGGGAAGCGTTCCAAGCTACCATATCAAGATTACGTACTCCGTATGTACACACGTACATCACGTAGCACCGGCCCTTGATGGGGAATTGGGACCCGCTACACCGGAAGCGCTTCCGGTACGTGGCAGCTGACCTCAGTTTCTTGCCCAGAACCCCAGCCAGCACCTTTTGTCAGGGTCGTTGGCCATCGTAAGTGTTGTGATGCACGAGCAAAATAGTATTGCTGACGACCCTTGAACCCTGAAACTTGCATTCTGCTGCTTACGGGACACCAGCGAGAGATTGGCCTTAACATCCTTCTCGCAATCTATTGCCTTGTAATCTGAACAAGGTGCTGTCAAGTTGCTAGTGACGGCGTCTTGCATGACGGTGTGGTGTGTCTCCAAAAGAAACGTGGCGCAATCGATCTCGCAGGCTTCACACCCCCGGCGGCGAGTACTGAGTTTGGCAACTCTGGACAAGTTCGTGCATCGGCTATTGACCGGACGCCTCATGATGGGCGGACAATAGGCGGACCAAGTCTACAACTCTGCCCAATCCACATGACGCTGCCATAGAACAATCGAACTGGCTGGCTCTTTGTGGTCTCGGGATGTTTCTGTTGACAACAGTAACGGCACGAAGAATAAGCATGCCTGGCATAATGAGAAGAATCTCAATACCAACTTTGGGATACAGGAGTCATGGGCGGTCTCTGCGCGATTTTGGCATTTGCCATCGGTAACCGATTGTACCCTGCAAACGCCGACACATTGCCGTGGGGCCGTGGGGGGAAGTCTTAGAACCCCAACATTTCAACATTGACTGCGGGAACTCATGTGCGTGGGGGTTGATGCTGGGGTCGTGAACGGAAGAGTGGCACTACTCCGAACATGCTAGAACGGTAGTACACTGCAGTAGCAGCGCATGACGAATTGTACTGACGTGAGCCCGCGGGTATATGTACCTACCCATATGTGCGTAGTTCGTGCCCGCGAAGTCGAGGTTGAAGACAGAGAGCGGGAAGAGCCGCTGCCTAGCTTGTGTCGGTTTGATAACGACTGAAATAGTCATGGTTGCAATGTAGTTGCTGAAACTGCGCCATGCTTTTGCTTATCTAAGGACAAGGAGGTGGAACGTCGACAGTGTTTTTTTGTGGAAAGTACACAAGCACAAGCAATGATGTGCAACCTGGATCCTAAACACTGCCTTTGTGATAGCGAGTGTCCGAGAGGCATAGTCTGTCGTTGCGTTGATTGTCCCATGCCTGGCCCAAGAGTTTGGATAGGATTGTTTGGATGCCTGTTGTTGACAATCCTCAAGCGCTCGTCATTGCGTTGTTATTCAGGACCAAAGCTGCGTTACCGAGTGATTCCTATTGTGTTTGGTCAGCCAGACGGTATGGCAAACAAACCATATACATGTCCCGTATGGGTTCTGTCAAACAAACAATTTGATGATAATGTGACCTCGTCGTCAAACTGATTCAACATGATGGACCTTGGTACCAATGTTTATGAAAGTAGGGAAAAAACTTGCGGCCCTGGCACTTGGATGCAGGTAGAACGTACTTACATAATCCGTTCAATGAACCCCGGTGTGCCTAATAGCGGCAGGTCAAAAGATTGATTGCGTAAAGCTGATATTTGGATAATGGTCTTCTGATTTGGGATGCCATCGTTGTAAGGAAGAAACAAGTTGCCGCCAAATGCGCAAGGAGACTTCTTTTCAGGAATTTATAAAAAGTTAGCCGGTACAGCCATGTTCATGCCATTGTCGACGGTTCTAGTCCAACCCCGCGGCGGGGTGTGAGAGCCGTCCATGTACGTTGGAGGATGAGGCAGGAGTGAATGCAATTCTTTCTTGCCTGATATTTGGCCACTAATGGTAGCGGGGCCGTGTAGCAATTCAAATACTCCGTACTACATGCAGACAGCCCAGAGCACTCTCCTTGAGAATAAAACAATGATATGACTTGCCTCTTTTCATTACTTTTGAATTATGTCAGAAACAGATATTTCACGCTTCCATAATCTTCTCTCTCCTGCGCCCTGCCTGCTGGCTGTGAAAGGACGAAGGGCGAGACTCCAATGTTGCCTGCGCCTCCCCCGCCTTTAGTGGCTGTTTAGCTGGTGGGAGCCTATCAGAGGGCCGTAGCCCGGTCGTGATGTGCCACGAGAAGGAGCCACCCAGGCACTTTTGGTGCAGCGAGAAAGCACTTGAGCCAATTCAGCAATTTTGCACCACCAATCGCCAATAGCAGGCCGACGCTGTCCTCAACCTGTACTACGTAGCCCAATTGCGAGCCAGCAAACAACCGCCTCTGTCGAGAAGAGGAACTTTTGACCTCGGGAGGGAAGCTACTGTACGTACCTGTTCTCTATAAGGTCAACTGGTGTCGCGCTACGTACGTCTGTCGTCTCCGACTTCTTCATGTCCCTCACATTGTCCTTGGTCCTTCGAAGGCTGTCATCTGCGAGACCAGTCGGTTTAAGAACCTCCGTATCTTGTCTACGACCTCCTCTCCGTTGCGTGGCTCCTCGTTGTTCGGGATTGTCGTCATCGCCCTTCTCCGCCATGGCTTCCGCGGACCTCAAGCATTTCCTCGCCGACCAGCCTCCGTCAGTGGTCAGACTGGAGATCGAGCAACATTTTGAGGCCTTGAATGACAAGCAGAAGCGCTATGCTCATTTTATTAGCAAGTATGTGTGAATCCCCAACGACGTTGCTCTCAACCGCGCCAACTCGCTCTGACTCCCATGACCCTACATAGAGCCTGCTTTGCTGGAACCAGAATTGTCCTTCGGCAAATCTCTCCAGAGTCTGAGCCCATATATGATCTCATCCTGACCTTGCATAAGAGTTGCAATGGCAATTGGGATGCTCTGGCCAAGAAGGCTGGTGTTGACGACGCTGAGCTTACCAGCTTCTTGGAGTATGCTGCTATGTTTCTCGGCAACAACGGAAATTATAAAAGCTTTGGCGATTCCAAGTTCCTTCCCCGATGCAGCGATAAAACTGTTGCTGCCCTTGCTGCTACTTCTCCCGAGGCGGCCAAGTTTTATGAGGCGACTAATGGTGGCATCTTCAGCCATGACAAGCCCGGCTTGCTTCATCTCGGGTTCATCGATGCAGGCCACATGACTACATATTATCCTGATTCTCCCACCATTACCAAGGATGAGATCGAGAGCGTTTCCGCGTGGATGGAGAAGAAGGGGTTGCTACCGGAGAACAACAGACTGCGTAAGAATGCCGACGGCTCATTCGATATCCTCATTGCCTCCGTGGTCACTAGCGTTCCTGCTGAAGGTGGAGATATTGGTAAAGACACCCAGTTCACGGTTGACGATGGTGCTTTGAAGGGCAAGACCATCAGACTCATCTACGGCGACTATGCAAAGGAGATGAAGAACATTGCTGCCTACATCAAACAGGCAGCAGACAATGCCGATAACGATACTGAGAAACGGATGCACATTAACTACAACAAGTCCTTTGAAAGCGGATCCCTTGAAGCCTACAAAGATGCCCAGAGAAACTGGATCAAGGACAAGGGTCCCATGGTGGAGTGCAATATTGGCTTTGTTGAGACTTACCGCGACCCTGCCGGAGTACGTGGTGAGTGGGAGGGCTTTGCATCCATGGTCAACCTAGAGCGCACCCGTGCCTTTGGAGAACTTGTCGCTGCTGCTCCCACTCTCATCCCTCTCCTCCCTTGGAGCAAGGACTTTGAAAAGGACAAATTCCTATCTCCCGACTTTACGTCATTGGAGGTCATGACCTTTGCTGGGTCTGGTATTCCTGCTGGCATTAATATCCCCAATTATGACGATATTCGACAGACTGAAGGTTTCAAGAATGTCTCATTGGGTAACGTCTTGAGTGCCAAGGCGCCCAATGAGAAGATCCCTTTTATCCGTGATGAGGACTTGGAGGTCTATCAAAAGTATCGTGACGCTTCCTTTGAGGTCCAGGTCGGTCTCCACGAATTGACCGGTAAGTTTATTCAAGGAACTATACCCACGAAGAAAAGCTTCAATTTAACTAATCTGCCCTTTAAGGCCACGGCTGTGGTAAACTCCTCCAGGAAACAGCACCTGGAGTATTCAACTTTGACAAAGAGAACCCCCCTATCAGCCCAGTTACCCAAAAGCCAATCACGACTTGGTATAAGCCTGGTCAGACCTGGGGCTCCGTTTTTGGCAGCGTAGCCGCCTCGTATGAAGAATGTCGAGCCGAGCTGGTTGCCATGCACCTTAGCTGCGAGTTCCCTGTTCTGAAAATATTTGGTTTCGGGGATGGCAGCATGGATATGGACGGTGAAGCTGGTGATGTCTTGTATGCGTCGTATCTTTCCATGGCCCGGGCTGGTCTTGCAGCTACGGAACTGTGGGACCCAAAGAGCCAGAAATGGGGTCAGGCTCACAGTCAAGCTCGTTTCTCTATCCTGAAGTGCTTCCTCGATGCTGGCGATGATTTCTGCAAGCTAAACTATACCAAGGACGACCTGTCTGATCTGACCATCCGGCTGGATCGATCCAAGATTCTCACAGCGGGCCGCAAAGCCGTTGCTGATTACCTGCAAAAGCTTCACGTTTACAAGTCTACCGCCGATGTCGAGGCCGGTACCGAGTTCTATAATGAGATGACCAAGGTCGACCTGGAATTCTGGGGCACCAAGATCCGTAATGTTGTTCTTGATAACAAGCAACCTCGCAAGGTGTTTGTTCAGGCCAATACAACCTTGGATGAGTCTTCTGGCAAGGTTTCCATCAAGCACTACGATCCTAGTCTTGTTGGTATTATCCAGAGTTGGGTTGACAGGGATTTGTAATTGACGCCAGATAGCACGGGGAGTCGAGGCAGGTTGAATCATGAAAACTACATTGTAAATTAGAATGTCAAATTGGAATGAAAAAAAAAAAAAAATTAAACAAGTTAATTGCAAAAGTCGAGACCTGCCATCAGGGTTTCTTCCATTGCGACAGTTTGCATATTCGTGTACATCCGGATCAGTTATATGGATCATATCACTCGTCAATTCCACATCATTGCCAGCGGGGACTGAGGTTCATGGATTCCTTGGATTTTGTGTTATGGATCATCATCACGGCTCACCAGACTGCCCTGGTAGAACTCTTCATTTATGCTCGTTTGTTTTTTTGACTGTAAAAACCTGATTACAGACGCCAAGATGTGACCGATGCCTGTCAACTTCCAAATGCAATTGGCCAAACCAGCCCTATGTGTTCGGAGAACCCGTTTCCCGTTTCTACAACCCGTTGCCGCGCCGTTAAAAACGACCCGTTCCTTCGGTACCACACCGCGCTAGCTCTTCCACCACACACGCCCCAACTTCCAAACCCCTCGTTCGATTGTGCAACTCGTAAACTCAGCAACAAATTCTCATCCTTTTTTGGTTTTCAAAAAGACAAAATTAGTTGTTGCCGGGTTTACCAGGCCATCTCGTGGGGCTTGTCACCCTTTCGCAAGCTGAAGGAGCTGGCGAGGTAGCTGGCGAGCATGTCGACCTTCTTGATGTTGCCAATCAGGGGCTTGTCGATGGCCTTCTGGTCGGCAGCACGGCTGCTGTTGATCTGCTTCTTCTGCAAGGAATCCATTAGTTTCCCGTGTCGTTGCTCCAACTGTCACCTCCACACCGAATACTGTCTCTCGTGGACAATATTCGAATGTGAGGGTTTTCGAAAGCAACATACCTGAGCCTTCTCTCCCTGCTTGAAGAAAGCCTCCTCACTAGCCTTCTCCTTGGCCTTCTCCGCAGTAAAGTACTTGGGCTGAGCAATCTCCTCAACCTTCTTGGCGTCAAGGCCGGAGACATCGACCTTCTGGGAGGTGGCGATGACGTATCGGGAGTTGACTCGTCGCAGAGGAACACCGTTGATCTTGAAGGGGCCAGTAACAAGAAGGACACCCTGGTCGAGGGCCTTCAGAAGGATGACGCGCTTGCCGCGGAAACGACCGGCGAGGAGAATCAGGACGGTACCGGGCTGGAGGGACTTGCGGGGAGCCCAAGAACGGACTGCCTTGCGGACCTGGAGATTTTGACATGCTTGGTTAGCCATCTTGTATTACGATATCGAGTTACGTCTGCGCATATAACTCTCATGGTGGCCCTCTGCACTGGGTGGTTGTCCAATTGTACAATATCGATAGTTGCCTTCCCTGCAGTGAGGTATTGCACTTGGACGTCCCCGGAGTCATCTCATTGCTTTACTCATGGAGTCATCCCGATTGTAAACACCGAAGGTGGTTGTTTGTTGGTAATCAACAATATGTTGCCATTGTCATATGCTCGGGTTGCCGTTGTCGCCATCGCGCGCTTGTCCATCGTTCCATAATTTGTGCTTCGCCCGGGCAGAGGCCACCATGAAATTTGTCTTGTCGCATCACATCACCGATATCAACAACATCACCATGAAACTCACCTGCTTGGCCTCGTTCTCATCATCGGCAGGATACCACTTCTGGGCCTTGGCCGAGGGAGCGGGAACCTCCCGGGTCGACTTCCCGAACTTCTTGGTCGTGGGCTTCGCCGACATGGTGACTCTCGGGTTGTGTCTTGTTGGGCTGTGGAGAGGAAAGGAAGACACGTTTGGTGATGCTCGCCCAAAATGTTGGAATTCTTTGTGAACGCCGCTAGCGAATTTGTGGGAGGCAAAATGTGAACCCTCAGGCGCTAACCGCTTACGGCAGCACGCCTTGCCCAACTTTTCCCGCCCAACTTGTGGGACATGGGGCTGGAAGCACGTGATGATAAGATAGGCGGTGACGGCACCGTTGCAGGCCGTCCCGGGCGCCCCAGTTATTAGCAGTTCAGAGCCAGAACTTACGAGAAGCTGGTGGTGCCGCCTTGAAGATCTCAGAACTGGGGGAGGGAGCTTCTGGGGCCCAAGGTTTCCAGGTATATTTTCCGAGTCTGAGCTCTAGGTCGAATGTATGTTACACCTACACATTCATCCAATGCACGAATGTTCACTGGGATTGTACTAGGACGGCAGTAATATTATACTTGCATTTACTATGCAAGCCAGACGCCAATTAATAGCTTCGGCCCAGCGAGTAGTTGGTGCCACGGCTCGATCTTCAAGACCAGTCTTGCGACTGGCGGCAACTCGGAGAGCTTGCGCAACACCCCTACGGTTTCTCCCAACAACTGCTACACGATGCTACGCAAACGGACGGCCTCACCCCCCGGGAGGAACGCATCGTATGAATATGGGGGGTGAAGAGGAAAAACCGGCACTGGAACAGTTTGGCATCGATCTCACGGCTCGAGCCAAAGACGGCAAACTTGATCCGGTCATTGGACGAGATGCCGAGATCCAACGAACGATTCAAATATTGTCCCGACGAACCAAGAACAATCCTGTCTTGATTGGAAATGCCGGTACAGGGAAGACTGCTATTCTGGAAGGTCTTGCGCTTCGGATCATTCGGGGCGACGTGCCAGAAAGTATAAAGAACAAGCGAGTCATCAGTTTGGATCTGGGCTCCCTGATAGCCGGTGCCAAATTCAGAGGTGACTTTGAAGAGCGATTGAAAAAGGTCCTTGACGAAGTTCAAAAAGCAGAAGGACAAGTTATTCTTTTCATTGATGAGCTACACACTCTGCTTGGCCTGGGTAAGGCCGAAGGCTCAATCGACGCCTCCAACTTGTTGAAGCCTGCCTTGGCTCGAGGCGAGTTACAGTGCTGCGGCGCCACAACGCTCAACGAATATCGACAGATTGAAAAGGACGTAGCTCTGGCTCGCAGGTTTCAGCCCATCATTGTCAGCGAGCCCTCGGTCGAGGATACCATCAGCATCCTCCGTGGTATCAAGGACAAATATGAAGTACACCACGGCGTCCGTATCACTGATGGGGCTCTAGTCGCGGCAGCAACCTTATCCAATCGATACGTCACGGATCGTTTCCTGCCGGACAAAGCAATTGATTTGATGGACGAAGCAGCCAGTCACTTGAAACTGCAGCATGAATCGAAACCCGAAGACATCATGCGACTTGACCACAAGATCATGACCATTCAGATTGAGCTCGAAAGTTTACGCAAAGAAAAGGATGTTGCGAGCCAGGAACGCAGAGAGAAGCTGGAAAAAGATCTAAAAGAGTACCAAGATGAAATTGCCCAACTCAATGCTCGTTGGGAAAAGGAACGCAGCGAGATCGAATCCGTCAAAGTGATCCAGGAAGATCTCGACAAGGCTAGGTTTGATCTGGAACAAGCGCAGCGTGAGGGCAACTTTGCTCGCGCCTCTGAGCTCCGATTTGGCGTCATCCCAACTCTCGAACAGAAGCTCCCCTCGGACGAGGAGAGCCAGCAATCGCAGTCCGAGGATGCTCTGATCCACGACTCTGTCACATCAGACGACATCGCCAACGTCGTCTCCAGGATCACAGGCATCCCCGTATCAAAGCTCACTTCCGGCCACATCGAGAAGCTAGTACACATGGAAGACACGCTGCGCGAAGCCGTCAAGGGCCAAGACGACGCTATCAAGGCTGTCTCCGACGCAGTCCGCCTCCAACGCGCTGGCCTCAGCGGCGAGAACAAGCCTCTCGCATCTTTCTTCTTCCTCGGCCCCACGGGCGTCGGCAAGACAGAACTGTGCAAGAAGCTCGCCGGCTTCCTGTTCTCCACGGAATCCGCAGTCGTCCGCTTCGACATGTCCGAGTTTCAAGAAAAACACACCATATCGCGTCTCATCGGCGCGCCCTCTGGCTATGTAGGCTACGAAGACGCCGGCCAGCTGACCGAGGCTGTGCGTCGCAAGCCCTACGCCGTACTACTATTTGACGAGTTTGAAAAGGCGCACCGTGACATATCCGCGCTGCTACTCCAGGTCCTTGACGAGGGGTACCTTACCGACGCGCAAGGCCACAAGGTTGATTTCAAAAATACAATCATTGTGCTGACGTCCAATCTTGGGGCCGATATCCTCGTCGGGCAGAACCAACTCCACCCGTACAAGGAGAGTCCCGACGGGGAAATGGACCCGTCCGTTCGTAAAGCCGTTATGGACGTCGTGGCTCAGGCATACCCGCCCGAATTCCTCAACCGCATCGACTCCTTCATCATCTTCAAACGCCTTGCGCTGTCCGCCATAAGGGATATTGTCGATATTCGTCTCAAGGAGCTGCAGCAGCGTCTGGATGACAAGCGAATCAAGCTCACTGTCCCGGATACAGTCAAGGACTGGCTCGCCGAACGCGGTTACGATCCCAAGTTTGGTGCGAGACCTTTGAATAGGCTCATCACAAACGAGATTGGCAACGGGCTGGCTGATAAGATTATCCGTGGGCAGTTGAAGATGGGGCAAGCTGCCGAGGTGAAGATTAAGCAGGATGGTACGGGCTTGGAAGTGGTTAATACTTCCGAGACTGCGGTATGATGTAATGTATTGTAACGTAATGTAATGTACGTCTATTTCACTGGGAGCATGGAGTCTCGGATTTTGTATGTTAGAATAGCTGATTTGGAGAGTTGTCTATAGCACGCACTACATGTATTTATATTTACTCCTCTCAGTTGTTTGATGTCCGCGTGTTTCATACCAAGCACACACACCCACACACCTACAATATATCTAATTCATGAATTGAAGCACTTCCCTAGAAATTATGAGCACCATACTTTAAACATGAAAGACTTTCCATTCTTCAATGTATCTGCCCCATTCGCTCTGTTCTCACTCATCCTCTGTCTGCCATACCTTTCCAACCATCCCGCCGAAAACGAACCCATGCCAGGAAGCGGAGAGTCAAAACACACAAGAGCCACAGAAGACAGACCGATTCCCATAGGAAAAAAAAAATGAGCCACAAGTTTAAAATAACATCGAGAACCAATTTTTTTTAGAAAAACCTCCCTTTCTCCGTTCATCCCCCAATTCATCCTTCTGTCGCTCCGCTACGAATCCTTTCCCAGCCGGGAGGCCTGTGCAACGAACCTAACGCCGCTAATCTAGCGCAATGAAGAGACAAGATGACGAGAGACAAAGAGTAAGTCAAACCAGGACTAAAACATAACAGCGTAAACCACGGTCTCTGCCTTGCACAAGTGCCCTCCTTCCATGCCGATTTCCCCCTATCCACCCGGTACATCCAAAGCCCTCAATACTCATCGTGTATGCTGCCAAGAACCTTGATCCAGCTACCAGCATGACTCCGTAAGCCCGGCTGTTTGCTCTTGTCCTAATGGTTCATGCAAGATGTATTCTACCAAACACCCATGGCCATTGTAGCACAAGCCCTTTCAAAGGGCCGCATTTGGAAGGCCCAACATGTATATGTGCCTCACGACAACACCTAAAAAAAAGACAACGGTCAAAGCCGGACAGGGACGAAGGATGAATAAAAGACTAAATTTTGATTCGATTGGTTGATCGATAGCTTTTCAATTACAGCCGAAGCCTCACTATAACGAAGTCCGGTATTGCAGAGAGTACGTGATTTGAGGGGGTACGAATGAGAAGGCGGGGGTTGATCAAAGGCTTCTCGCAGGTGATGTCTACTGGTGGCCGGCCTTACGGAGGGTGGTGGCGAGCCACTCAAGACCCTCGTACAGGCCGTCACCAGACGTGGCACAAGTGGACTGGATATACTGTTGGACGCCAAGATTAGTGACCTGATGACGAGCTCGAGATTGCATTGTGGACGTACCCAGGCGCGTTGCCTCAGGCTGTGGAGGCCGAGTTTGTCAGTGATCTCGGCAGCATTCATGGCATTCTAAGGCGAGTTGGTTAGCTGAATTGTCATGCGACGCGAGCATGCATCAGAGCAGGATAAGGGTAGCTTACAGGAAGATCCTGCTTGTTGGCAAAGACCAACAGGATGGCGTCTCGCAGCTCATCCTCGTTGAGCATGCGCTGGAGTTCCTCACGGGCCTCGACAACACGGTCACGATCGTTGCTGTCGACGACGAAGATGATACCCTGAGTGTTCTGGAAGTAATGTCTCCATAGAGGACGAATCTTGTCCTGGCCACCGACGTCCCACACGGTAAACTGAATGTTCTTGTACTCGACAGTCTCGACGTTGAAACCTGGAAAAGGGGGAGGGGAGTTAGCATGGCAGTGTGGGGAGGAGCTCTTGCGGGATGCGAGAAGGCAAGTGCAGCGGCGGAGAGAAATTGACAAGACGGGCCCAAGAGCGGTCGGGGGAATCTTACCAATGGTAGGAATGGTGGTGACGATTTCGCCAAGCTTAAGCTTGTACAGAATGGTGGTTTTACCGGCGGCATCGAGACCAACCATCAGAATTCTCATCTCCTTCTTCCCCCACAACTTGTCGAAAAGCTTAGAAAAGGTGAGACCCATGATTGCGACTTGCGGCGATGAGGGCGGCTAGTCGTATTATGTGTAGCGGTGGTGGCTGTGGATGTAGGAAAAAGAGAAAAAGAGATCGACCGAGCGACCGAGCGAGAGATATCTATGTGTCCTAATTGCCACGCGTAAGTAAGCCAGCCAGCCAGGAGGGGTTTTTTCTCTCGTAGTGGGCTGAAGGTCGGCGGGCAGGAGGGCAGAAGGAGGCAGAAAATGA